CTCCCCCTCTTCCGATGTAACATAATGACAGCTAAGCTGCCAGGCTTGTTTGTAAATAAATCCACGTGATCAGTAAGACTGGCTGCCATAGGGATAGGGAACCAGTCAGAATCAGGCCAAGAGATTTTAGTGACAGTGCAGTCTCGGCAAAAAGAAAATAAATTTAATGTTCTCCTTGCATGCATTATTGTTGCATTAACCTACAGGCTGCAAGTAAGGAGACTTAGTAGCTGGTTTGTTCCCTCCATTGAAAGGGACATTTTTTTATTTTTGATCTGTTGGAAAGTAAAGTGACACTAAACAATATCCTTATTCTCCAAATATAATTCATACACATTCACTACTTAATGGCCCTGTTCTTTATTTTGCATGAAATCATTTCCAGCTGTGTTTTTCTGCCTCCTAATAACATCCTCCCTAAATTCCTGAACCTTTTCTTTATACTTTATCCTTTCATTTGGAACGAGCCGAACTTGTTAGTTGCAGTCATTTGCACTGTTCTTTGCACTCTACATGTCCCATAGTGCATAGTCCCTAGTCCAGCTTGAGAGCATGTAAGAGAAGGTGATTGCGTTCCTACATACAGTGGTACCATGGAAAATGAATATAGCCACCCTGCAACAGGAAGTCAAATCACAGCAGCAAATAATAGGAATTTGGAGAAGGCTGAGAGCAATGGAAAGTACTTTTTGAGCTAAAAATACATACTTAAATAGAATTAAAAAAAAAAAAAAAAAAAAGTTTAGTGTCACTTTGACCATGCAATTTTTTTTTTTGTCTATAAATTCCAGTACATTTACTCTGTCACAGAATGGTATGTGAAATTAAAGCAAGTGTGGAATTACATATTTGACAAAATGTGCCAACTATGCAATAAAACTCACTGTTTTTCATTTTATTTTCAGACATATTTCACACTTAATGCACAATGTTCCTTTCCCATCTCCTCAGAGGCCAAGGATCCTTATGCAGGTAATTTGTTTATGTACTTGGCTGTAGATCTTGTACATAATGGTTGTAGCATTAAAAGGTACGCTACAGTCAGAATTGAAAGTTAAATCATGAAATGCAGTGCATACAGGAAGTTCAGCCTACCCTCAATTACGGTTTTAAACCAGACATTGTGGTAGTGCTGTAATCATCTCAGGAACAAAAATTTTATTTCTTAGCTGTACAGTTGAGGATTCAGGATCTTTAGTGTTTAAAGATGCGTTATATTCAGCTACCTTAAGGTGATGGGACACTGACAAAAAAGCCTCAGGGATATTCTCTATATAAGCCCTCCTACTCCGAATTAGTGTTTTAGTTGATGAACCTCTTCTCTCTACTGAGAAAAGCTTGTCTCTTTCCTATGGAGTTTTTTTTTTTTCCTAAGTTGATTCTCCCATCAATATCATTCATTTTATTTAGCTTGTGGGTCAGGTGACTCCTCAGCTTTGCTTTGGGGCAACATACACAGACCCCTATTAGTAAAGATGTGGAGCCAACCTATAGTGTTGCTGTAGGCAATGGATGCTGCATGGGCGCTCACCTTGGCACGTGGTGCATTGTTTAGTTAGCCTAAGGGTGCTATAGACCCCTTTGGGTATATTCCCACCATAAACGGTAAAGCTGGGATAGGGTATCATCCCTTGTATCCTGATGTGAAGACATCTGCTTTGGCAAGTGCAGGGCTTGAGCCTTTTAAATCTGTGCTAGGGCTCCTATGCCTCAGCCACCGAGGAGCACCACCTGTGACACTTTGAACTATGTGTTGCAGTTATGGATAGAAGACCTCAGCTGTTTAAAATTGGTGCAATTTTTCACCTCTGGCCCAAGTCTCTTGTATCTGGAGCTACTAAGCCTGTGCAGCTTCATTCTCACTTTGAGCACGTGCGTTCAATTTTTACTTTTCTGGGTTCCCTTCTCTTAGCCAGCACCAGCAACTTTATGGCTTCCTTCAGAGCCCAGAACAGAGATCCTATGCTCCTACAGTTAGGTCCATATATATTTGGACGCAGGCACAATTTTAGATTTTTCAGGTATTTACCAAAACATATTCAAGCTATAGTTATATAATAGATATAGATTGAAAGTGCACACTCTCAGGTTTAATTTGAGGGTATGTACATCCACATTGGAGAAAGAGTTTAGGAATTACAGCTTTTAAGAGTGGCCATTCCTTCTTTTTCAAGGGACCAAAAGTAATTGGACAATTGTTTCATGGCCATGTGTGGGCTACTCCTTCATTATTTCTTAATCAGTTAAGCAGGTAAAAGGTCTGGAGTTGATTCTAAGTGTGGTATTTGCATTTCAAATCTATTGCTGTGAACCTACATCATGCGTTCAAAGGAGCTGTCCACACCAGTGAAACAGGCCATTATAATGCTTCAAACATGAAACAAATCCATCAGAGAGATAGCAGCAACATTAGGAGTGGCCAAGTCAACAGTTTGGTACATTCTGAGGAAAGAAGAACGCACTGGTGATCTCAGCTTTTAAAAAGGGGTCAAAATCTTTACCAAGTAATTATTGACCTGTTCGTTTAACTTCTATAGTTGGGAAGATACTGGAGAGTTTAATAAGACCACATAGATGAGTTCTTGCTGGAAAAAAATATTTTAAGCAGCAGACAGCATAGACTCATGAAAGCATGGACAGAAGGGTGGTGGTGGACGTGGTATACTTGGATTTTGCAAAAGCGTTTGACACATTTCCCCACACATGGCTAATGTGTAAGGTAAAGTCTACAGGCTTGGAAAATCTGTATGTAAATGGATAGAAAACTGCTAAAAGATCGTATTCAAAGAGTAGTGGTTAATGATTCATACTCTGAATGGTCTAGGGTTGTCAGTGGTGTACCCCAAGGTTCAGTGTTGGGACCCTTACTTTTTAATATATTTTATAAACAATATAGGGTCTGGGATTAAAAATCCCATTTCAGTCTTTGCAGATGACACCAAGCTGTGCAGTGGAATAACGTCCTTAGAGGATGTCTCCAATTTACAAGCTGACCTCAATGCACTGTTTAATTGGGCAACTATGTGGCAAATAAGGTTTAATGTTGATAAATGTAAGGTTATGCACTTGGGGGCTAAGAATATGCATGCATCATACATACTAGGGGGGGTACAACTGGGGGAATCAATGGTGGAGAAGGATCTGGGGGTTCTGGTAGATGACAAGCTTAATAATGGCATGCAATGCCAAGCTGCATTTTCTAAAACAAGCAAAATCCTCTCTTGTATTAAGAGGTATAGACTCCAGAGAGAGAGATATCATATTACCCCTGTACAAATCATTAATAACACCTCATCTGGAATATGCAGTTCCGTTTTGGGCACCAATTCACAAAAAAGAACATTGCGGAACTGGAGAAAGTACAGAGAAAGGCAACCAAACTGATAAGAGGCGTGGAGGAGCTCAGCTATGAGGAAAGATTAGATGATCACATGGAACAAGGTGCTGTGATTGGTCCAGGTACCATGTGATCTCTTGTGACCAATCACAGATCACAACAGTAAGCAAAATGAAATGAAAGCCATTCATGACAGATTGCTTACAAGTTGTTATGTTATTGCTATGATTGAACATGATCACTTGATACCGTGACTGCTCACAGCGACCATGTACCGAGCACTATGATCCACTGTGTAATGGGATCACAGCACTGCCAGTGCACATGTGCTTAGTGACGTAAGGGTATGTCGCTGAGCCTTCAGCAGCTGCCCGCTAGCGGTAAGTCTATTGCTGGGGGGGCAGCAAGTGGTTAAAGAAAACTTATTTTATTTTTAGTCATTAAAGAAATGTATATAGCTCTGAAAGTTTACATATACTAGGGCCAGTTTAGACAGGAGCCAGTTAACCTACCAGTTTGTCTGTAGAGTGTGGGAGGAAAGCAGAGTACCCAGAGGATACCTGCACAGGGAGAACATGAAAACTCCATGCGGGTAGTGCCGTGATTGGGATTCAAACAGATTACCCTAGTACTGCTAGCAGAAGTTCCAAACACTTAACTATGTGCATCGAAGATCAACTAAAAACTCTAAAAGCTGCCAAATATATGTAAAAGCATCTAAATGGGCCTAAATGAGGCCAAAAGCAATAACATTCAAACACAGGAAAAAGATCTGAAAGGCATACAAGTTGTTTATACTTCCCAGATCACTGTGTAAAAGAGCTAAACACAGGAGTGCCAGTGTGAATGAAGCCTTGGACCTAATGCACATGGATGTTTATTAGCGCCAAAGTCCTCAAACGTAAAATCCCTGATGCTTTTTTATGTCTGGGTAGCTGCAGGCAACACATACAGCCTGCCATAAAAGTGAAAGATTGTGTACACCCATTCTCAACCCTCAACTGGCAATGCTTCCATGCTTTAGCATTTACCAACATACCGTATTTCCTTAACTCGCGTTCAGGTAAAACCGCTGTGCATGCATGGGTAAATTGCTAATGCACAAAACTATCTATATTTAGTAGTATATGAATATATACAGCCATTCACATGTATGGCAGGCTGTACACACCATCTCTGGCTCCTTGAATGAGGGAAAGTGTTGGGGATTTTATGTCTGAGAATTTTGGAACTAATAAATATCAGTGTGCATGAGGCCCTAAAGTCGAGCCTTATTGCCTTCCTACTTCCTAAGTCTCACTCTTGATTACTGAGGCCACCTACCCTCATAAAGCACCAAAAAGCAAGCTCATGAGTGGGGGGGCAGGGTGGCACCCAGCTTGACTATTATTTAGGTTGAGATTCGTATGCAAGTTAAGCAGCCTAGATTTTTTGGATCTACTAGCTGTATTGACATGTGGTTTTTCCTGAAGGTAACTTTTTTGTATTTTTCATCATATGATCAGTATAAGTAGTCCAGGTTTGTGACAATTTTACTTTAACCACCTCCCGCCCGCCATATAGTAATATGACGGACGCAAGGTGGTTCTCTCGTTCTGAGAGGACGTCATATGACGTCCTCCCATTCTCACAGTGGATCACGGAAAGAGCCGAAGATGTCGGCTCGGTCATGTGATCAGCTGTGTCCAATCACAGCTGATGACATGTAAACAGGGAAATGCCGGTTATCGGCATTTCTCTCCTCTCGAGCTGTCACACTGACAGCTCGTGAGGAGAGGTAATCGGCTTTCCGCGGAGGGTACATCTACACTGATCATCAGGGCACTGATGATCAGTGTGCCCTGATGATCAGTGTGCCCTGATGATCAGTGTAGCCCAGCAGTGCCACTTGTCAGTGTCGATCAGTCCCTTGTCTCAGTGGAGTGGTCATCAGTGCCTCGTGCCAGTGCCCATCAGTGCCACATATCAGTGCCTACCAGTGCACATCAATGCCACATATCAGTGTCCATCTGAGCTGCCTTTCAGTGTCACCGATCAGTGTCTGTCAGTGCCACCTATCAATGCCAATCAGTGCTGCCTATCAGTGCCAGTCAGTGCCGCCTATCAGTGCTGCAATTCTGTGCCCATCAGTGTCACCTACCAGTGCCTCCTCATCAGTGCCCATCAGTGCAGCCTATCAGTGCCCATCACTGCAGCCTCATTAGCGCATATCAGTGAAGGAGAAAAATCACTTATTTACAATATTTTATAACAAAAACTAAGAAAAAACATTTTTTGTTCCAAATTTTCAGTGTTTTTTCGGTTTAAGAAAAAATAAAAAACCCAGAGTTGATTAATTACCACCAAAATAAAGTTCTATCTGTCACAAAAAAATGATAAAAATGTCATATGGGTACAGTGTTGTATGACTGCGCAATTGTCATTCAAAGTGCGACAGCGCTGAAAGCTGGAAATTGGCCTGGGCAGGAAGGGGGTATAAGTGCCCTGTAGGCTAGCGGTAAGCACAAAGTTTAAAAATGTCCTAGTGATAACCTATTGATTGAACATGTAAGATACTCTGAATAAAAATTGCCTGCATAGCACATGTATGAAGGTCATCTTATATAGACCTTGCTTTATGCTTTCCTGTAAACTCTTCCTCTTGTGTAGTTAAAGTACTGTTGATTGTAAGTTGAAACTACACTTTTTGTATTTAGTAAAATATTCTAACTAGACAGTTTGTAGGAATATTAGCAGAACAGTTATTTTTGTTTACATATGGATTGTGTAAAGTAATGTTTTTGCCTCTTGTACTTTTGCAGCTATCGGCACATGATGCATTTATCATCTCCCAACCTGTGTCAACTCCATTACCACTCAGGTAGCCTTTTAATAAAAGTAAAATTCTTATGTTTGTATTGGTCATCCTAACTCCCCTGGGTTTATGTGCCAGGTTTATGTAAATATGTCCAGAAGCTAGTTATCGAACGTAAATTAGAAACATGCTAGTTGTGAAATATGGTGAGTCGTTCATTTCAGGGGAGCTGCTATAAAAATGTAAGTAATATTGAAAATCATGAATTAGCTTGATGAAAAATTTATTCTTTTATCTAAAATGTCCCCCCCCAAAAAAAGAAAAGACCATAACATTCAATGTGTATCTAGGATCAAAATGTAAAATCATTCATTCATTTCCACATTGTATTTCAATTATTCCTCCACTTTGTACTATTACTACTCTCCCTTGTTGGTACCAAGAAGCATCTGGTTGATCGTGGGCCATGCTGTTGTAACCCCTTTCCTCCTCTCATTGGTTCTGGAATGGCCATATGGTTGTCAGTGGCCTGCACGTGGGCTGTGGCAGACACCTTGCTGGTTTTGTATGCATGCCCTGGGGCTGTGGGAGTGCATGATGCGGGTCTCCTGCCCTGTTTGGGTTGCCTGTACTACTGTGAGCAGGGGGTACTCTGCGCCCCTTCTTCAGGGCCAAGGTACTATGTTAAGCTGCTTGTGGGTGTGCGATGAACCTGCCGTAGCAGGTCTTTCCTTTTTAATTTCCGAAGTAAATCATTCAAGGATCCATGTCGAGTAAGGCCACCTCTGGAGCTCCCGTGTATAATAATTGGTTAGTGTGCTTGTGCTGTAATTTTTTGCATGGCATTTTAAAGAAGCTATTTTTTTTTTATCATTATCACAATGCTAAGTATGTACATGATATGGGCACAGTTATAAGTGGAACTATATCTATTTGCCAGTGATGATATTCCTATATATTTTCTGTATTTCTAAAATATCCAAAAGACCACAGCCATTATTCTGACTTGGTAAATTGAGCACAATCTGTTCTGCCACTGGTGTCCCTGAGAGAGCAAAAATGGGTTTTGCTTAATTTCTCTAGTAAATTTTATTTTTTTTTTTAAATTTAAAATTAAAAGTATTTAAAGCCAGCTGCCAAATTGTTATCTATTATCACAGGTGCCATTTAAAGCAGTATTAAACCCAAAAGCAAACATTATTCAAAAATAAATATAACAACATTATCTTACCAGTTCTTAGAGGTGGTGGCTGCATTCGTTTTCTTATTTAGGCTTTCTTTCTTCTCTTTTTATCTGGTGATCTGGCCGATAAGTCTGTTGTTTTTTTTTTTTTTTTTTCAAGAGAACAAGCTGCCCTGCAGATATATCAGATACAGGAATGAGACAAACCATGTACAACTGACAGGGATGCTTAAAATGATCAGCTTTTCCAGGAAATGCTTTTATTGAATAATTTGCAATAAATAGGTCCAAACATTGACAGCAAGTTACTGTATGGTATATAAGGCTGCAATAATCAGAAGTGACAAAACACGGTAATTCCTCCAAATGCAGCATAAAACAGTACAAAAAGAAAATATACATAACTTAGCAAGGTGCATATACACAGTCACAACCAAACGAGTAATGGAATGCTAGTCAGTGAGAGCACTTAGGGACAAGGTCAAAGAACAAATTGGGAAACCGGTAAAAATGAAGAAGTATGTTCTTTATTGTACAGGGAAAGGCAAAGAGAGAGAAGAGGGGGATGGGGTGGGGGAGAGGGGAAGGGACACAAGGAGGGGGATAAAAAGGACATGAATCTCACAGGACAAGAAATCAGCAATTAGCTGAATGTACGTTTAGAAGGTTACAGGGTTAACACTAGGCTAGGGTGCCACAATATTTGGCAAGTTTTTCACACTTGCACAGAATGAGTCTGAGTTTCCCATTTCAGTTGGATTTCCTTCCATGCATAGAAGGCAGTATATAAAAGGAACAACTTAAGAATGTGTGAGGTCTCAATATTGTCGGTAACACCAAGGAGGATATACAGTATATGTAAAACCTTTAGTTGGTGTACATTATCCTACTCTGCTAGTACAGCTAACATTCCCCTTACAATGCTGTTGTCCAAATGTGTCCTCTATGCTTCTTCATCCAGGGTACAGGCACTCTAATACAGGAGGTGTGTTACTTGGCCAGATCACCTGGTAAAAACAGGGGAAAAGCCTAAAAAAGTAAACTAATGTAGCTACTTTATCTAATGATTTGTAAGCTGCAGTATTTTTTGGGTTTAATATTGCTTTAAAATGTTAAAATATAAAGTCACAGAACTTAAGCATCACCATTCTTTACTATTTAGCTAATGGTGAATAGGTGACATCTAGTTTTACTTTTGTTCAAGTCTTCTCTGGTGTATACAAAACCAAGCATGTTACAAAAAGAGTCAGGGCAAGAGCATAAACTGGCCAACAGATACTTCTTTGACAGCAGCAATAATATAATGGTTTGCTATAGGAAAACGGATATATTTTTTCTCTACAAACTATCAAACCATGACAGCTGTAAAATTGTGCAATTGCTCTTGATCTGAAGATATTTCTGAAGTCAAGGATGCAAGATTTAATTTATTGATTTAAGTGTTTTTGTTACATGGTTTGTTTTTTAAGTCAATCTGTGTTTGCTTTTTCCAGTGGAGCCAATTTTATTACACTGGTGATGAGTCTGGGTCCAGACAACTGTGCCACCTTACTGCATTTTGTACTGCTAGAGAGCAAAATCCTCCTACATTCCCTTCGACCGGCGGTCCTGACTAGTGTGGCTGAAGCCGTTGTGGCTGTAAGTATGGCACGAACTTGTAAAATGCTGCATACTTCTATTTCTTATACAGACACACCTGCTGACTGTCTGCTTCAGAGAGCCTTTGTCACTCTTGGATGTGTCAAAGGTAAAATGAAAATACAACTTATTATAAAATAAAAGTACTGGCTGACCAAACAGACTGTTGTATACTTCTAGATTATGCATTTGATCTGTGGTGACAGGGTCACTTTTTAAAGATGAAGTTTAGCTGATTTTTGCTTTCTTTAGCTTTACAGACACTACTTACCTTTTAAAAGATAAGTTCACCTTTGGGAAGGTATTCCAGGGTGGTACATGTAACATGTTCCCACTCCTGCAGCCTCTCCCCAATACCCCTGCTAATTGTAACGGTAGGCCAGGGATCTTTTCTCTGCACTCACTGTCACAATTTGAATAGAGTTCTGTGAGTTAATGAACTACAAGTACAGACAGCCTTTGCAGTTGATAGCTTGTAGTTCTAAATGAACTACCAGATCACCAGTGAGCACTCTAGGTAGTTCATTGATTCTTCCTGACATCATGTAACTGCCTGCCCCCAAAAGGTACAAGCAGACAGATACGATGGCAGTCTGCAGGATCTGTTGACCGCGGGTGCAATAGTTTACAAAAAAAAAAAAAGTGGTCCTTTTTTACCTCTAAAAATAAAAAATGTGCATTTATTATTTTATATATTTTTTTTTTTTTTAGAAAGGAGAACTTCTCCTTTAATAACGGATGTTCAATGTTATCCAGGCAGCTAGATTCTGAAGAAATCTTTACTGCATATGTGCCCCAATCCTCTTCCTGTGGCTGAACTTCCGGCCTGCAAGGGAATAATAGCTTGGAGCTGAGCTACTGTGCTGCTGCCTGTAACTCTGTGAATGGGGGAGAGAATCTTGTAACTCATCAGACTTTCTTTATTAAACAAATCATATTACAGACAGTGACAGCCATCAAAGAACATTTTTTAATGAATGAGAATGGGCTGGGGCCTCCTCCTGAAGTTTTCTTTTCACATCAGCTCAGCTCGAAGCTATTAACCCTATGCGTACGGATAGTTCAGCCACAGGAAGAGGACGGGGCATCCCTGCAATGAAGATTTCTTCCGGATCTAGCTGTCTGCACGACAAAGGACATCCTTCATTATAGGTAAGTATGTCACCAAAGCCGTAGCTTTCAGACACACACACGCACACGCACACACACGCACGCTCAAAAGTTTGTATACCCTGGCAGGAATTGTGAAATTTTGGCATTGATATTGAAAATATGACTGATCGTGCCAAAAAATGCTCTTTTATTGAAGGATGATGATCATATGAAGCCATTTATTAAATAGTTGTTTGGCTTCTTTTTAAATCATAACAGAAATCACCCAAATGGCTATGATCAAAAGTTTACATACCCTGGAATGTTTGGCCTTGGTACAGACACACAAGGTGACACACACGGGTTAAAAAGCCAATTAGAGGTTAAT